AACATTTTGATCATGGATTACAAAAAATTCTATTATGGGTTACAAAAACAAAAAAAAACAAAAAATTCGATCATGGATTACAAAAAAAAAAAAAACCCGTACGGGACTCACCGATTCACTGTACGGGACTCGCCGATTCCGTACAATGAATCGGCGAGTCACTGTACAGAATCGTTCGGTTCACTCTAAAACCGGACGATTCCCGTTTTTTTCGCCGATTCAATCTGTCCATGGCGATTCCCGAGTCGGCGTTTTTTTAAACACTGGTTTCTACACTTCCCCTTCAGCATAGAAGATCTATGCTTCCTTTATCATTCTGTTGTCAAATTTTGATCAAGAGAGCCACTCACCGTTTGATTTTAGATCCGACGTTGAAAAGTAATTTTTTTTTAGTTTTTTTTATACAAATTGTATGAATATGGAATTTGGCACTTGCCATCTTCTCATTGGCGCGCACCTATAAAAAATATTAAAAATAATTTTTCGATAAAATATAATGATCAAAATACCTCTTGAAACTTTCAAGGGTATTTTGGTTATTTTATTTTATTATAAATTATTATTTTTTTTCTTGCTAGTGCAAGTTTAATAGAGAATTGGACGTACGAAATTTGATGTCAAAATAGTTTATAGAAAACAAATTAAAAATAAAATAGTGTAGATATGTGATATTGTGATTGGAGCAATTTTAGCCCTCCATTCAAAATGAACGCTTGAATATGGGGAAGTATATAAGTTTTGTGTTACAGGGGAAGCATAAAGAGCTTGCCCTTTAAAGAAGGTCAGGTTTGTATAAGGTGTTAACATTATACTGTTGAAATAAAGGGCATATCAAAACTATGCGCAAAATACAATTTAAGTACTGCAAAGCCATAATATGAAAATATATTGTTGCTCTCAATTATGAAATGTAAAGTTCCAAAAAATGGTGACGATCAAATAAATCTATAAATATGTGAAAATCTTGAAAATGGACGGTTCAAATATTTCAATATTATAAATATCTTTTTTTTCACATCTATTAATCTCAAGGTTAAGATGATTGATTTGAAGGTTTTCAAGCATAAAAACATCCTTTCTTGTTGGCTTTTCAGGTATACCTTATTCTTACTGTATAAGGTTGACACCTTATACAAACTTCTACCTTTTAAAAAGACATGGCTTTTCAGAATCAGTCGGCTATTCAAAATCTATTTTCGAGACTGATTTTTAGACCCAAATTTTTAAGAACATCAAATCTCTAATGGAGATCATGAATATAAAAAAATAATTAAATTTTTAAAATAAAAATAATGATTTTATAAAAAAAAACATCTAGGTAGTTAGTTTCAATTGTTTTTAGATGGACCACCTATTTGCATCAATCTTTAAGACGAATGCTTTATACCTTGGGACTACATATTGTAGAAATAGAGTCCAGCCCGCATGAAACAATTGTCTGTTAAAAAAATGGACGGTCTACAAAGAGTCCATTTATTTTTGGACATGGTTTCTATGAGTCTATGTAGATACGAGTCCACTCTTAAAAATCTATTTTTTACATGGATTTTTGGACCCAATTTCTAAGGACATGGAAATCATGAATATGAAAAATAAATAAATTTTAAAAATAAAAATAATAATTATATGAAAAGAACATTTAAACCGCTAGTTTTAAGTGTTTTTAGATGGACCACACATTTGCATCTATCTTTAAGATGAATGTTTTATAATGCAGTGAAAAAAATATAGAAATACAGGAAAAGCTACATACAATTTTCTTTTATCTTTTGTACATGGATATTACAATCATTATTTTTCTTGAAATTTCAAAATGGGTGGTTGTAAGAATGTCATTGAATGGACACAAAGTTTCAAAAAAAATTATCAGACTTCGTGACTCATCCCAAGCCATCAGATTTGAAATTATCAAACTTCATGACTCATCCCAAACCATCAGATTTGATATTTAATGAGTAAAAATGATTATGATCTCCATATATAAAAGATAAACGATCTACCTAAGACTACTATAAGTACCCCAAATTTTAATCACATAACCTCGTTCACATAGCACGTGACTTCCACAAAAAAAAATTATTATGCACCATGAACAAATAGTTTACAATCTGAGACAGATTGACAGTCAATTTTAATCTAAAATTCTAAATAGATCCCAAATTTTCATCTGAAATTTTACAATAGATCCCAAATTTTCAAATAAGCAAAGGCATATCACACTACATTTTGGCACAAGGGAGAAAAAAGGAACTCTTCTACCATTTTGTGGTTAAAAGGTACCTATTGGTGCTGATTGTGACTATTATCGGGGGCTATTTCCAAGCTTGCCGCAAGCAGTAGGGCTTAGGGGCGGCAACGGCTCGTGTCAGGTTGGGTCTGGCCGGACTTGAATTTACCGGACTCGGACCTGGCCAAAAAATTAAAAATATCTATATATTTAACTATATTTAAATATATTTAGACCCAAAAAATATTACCGGACCCGATTAGACCCAATCAAACCCAAACCTGACCCGCAACGTCCAATTCTTGGACCCATGCCCAGACCCGGAGTGAGTCCATCCCTCAGGTACCGGGTCAGGTCTAGGTCGTTTACCACCCTTAAAATATGTTAAGACCATCTTGAATGTGGCTACCAGGACATCCAAAGGGGATGCATTTAGCCTGTGGGGTAGGCCAGGAGGCAAGTTCCATTAGGGGAGTAAATTAAGTAGAAATTTTCAGAATTTTTATTTTGTTTTTAAAATTTAAATAGTATTAAATGTTTCATGTTTTACACTTAAGTACCATTTTTTTAGGAGCATGACATGCATTTTAATTTTATCTCCTGTTTTTTATACATCAGATTGAGCTCAAATTGGTATTTTTTATGCTGCTCACCATCACACACCTGTAAAAAAATATTATAACTATTTAAAATAAATAAAATTGTCAAAATACCCTTAATATTTATATGGGTTTTGGTTATTGCTTGAAAATGTTTTCTAATATTTTTCTGCAAGTCTGTGAAGGTGAAAATATGTACATACCACGTTTAAGCTTAAAATAGTGAAAAAACAGAGAAAACTAAAATTCACTTTATGCTCTAAAAAAGTAGGACAAGTATGAAATATAATATAAAATATATATTAGTTTCTTAAATTTAAAAAATAAAACGATTATTTTCAATATTTTTTGCTAAATTAGTGTTTTTAACACTCAACGATTTCCGATGCAAAATGTTGGATTGAATGTGAATCAGCCAAGACCAAACTGATTTTGGGATAATATAGGTTCCGACTTGATTCCATCTAAAATCCCCTAATATATATTTATTTTATTTCATTTTTTTCAATATTTTTTTGGATCACCGATTCAAACAAAATCAGTCATGATCCAAATTGCTTATCCAATAGTCCAACATGGATCTATGAATGAATAATCTACTTTTGTTTTTTTTCTTTTTGAGTAAGTAAAATGTGTTAAGTCAATGGGGATTTGGGCCCCTACTTTTTGGTTAGAATGGAATCAGAAACCTCACCATGAAGCTCAGCAATGCTATCGCCATAACCTCTGGCTACTCTCTAAAAAAGTGGTGTGTCAATGGGGATTTAGGCCCCTACCCCTTTGGTGAAAATAGAGTCAGAGACTTCACCATAAAGCTCAGCAATACTACCGCCGAAGCCCCAAGCCATTCTTAAAATGATAAATCAATAGGATTTGAGCCACTGAGAGACTTCATCATCGGGCTCGTTTTTAATGTGCTTCATCCATTAGAGTTTTGAAAATACTGCGCTGAAATAAAAAGCCCGCCTCTCTCTTTTTTTTTCTCCTTCATGCCCTAAGCGAGCGGAGATAGTCTCCTCAAAATATGAATTTATCAACACTAAAATAATTATCCAAAAGATATACAAACATTTGAGTAATATAGCTCCTATGAACATTGAATCCACCCACCCCCAAAAAATCTCTCTCATCCACCCCAAAAACTCCCTCAATCTCATCCACTCACAAAAACTCTCTCTAGTCCCCTCAAAATTTTCTCTCTATGCATGCGCATGGAAATCACATGAACATTAAACAGATACAACCCCAGAAAAGACAAATTTCTTAAATAACGGCTCCACCCCTCCATGGTGATCTTCGAAATTGTATATTCCAATTCAAAAACTAACCACAACCGTACATTCACTTCCAGACTTCCTTTAACTCTCTTCACTTTACAACAAAAAAACCAAATAACATAACAAAACATTAACCGCTTTTTTATTTTCATTCAACTCACAATCATCCTTACCTGTCCCATATGAAATCTCGTAGCTAAGTATATACCATTAATGGTGCCCAGAAAAACTTTTCCCAAGACTTAATGCAGAAAAATTAAAAACCCATCAGCCCAATTTCACATGACAGCTTTTATAAGTGTTCACAGTCTCTTCATATACAATTCCTTAATTTTTAATATGATCCATCAGGTCATAATAATTTCATCACTTTCAGTTGGATTGTTCGTCTCTACAATGAAGCTTTCACATATCGGATGGTCCACCTATTACAACAGAGGTTCATAGTATGTAATGTGTATGCACTACCCCAAAAAATGGGGTTGCCAAAGCACTTTATGGAAATACATTTTCATATAGGCAGATCCAATTTCTCATGAACCAAACATGCGAATAAGTTCTTTCTCAAAAAGAACATACACTTGAGCCGACTGACCCCTTGGTAGTAATCACTTTCCCAATCAAGGGGTTGGATGATTTTGGAGTGAGTCCCTCCATAAAATTTTCAATTAATGAATCATATGGCCCTTAACTTTCCCCCCCACCTCCATCTAACATGGATTGGCCTGTGATCACTGCATATCGATCATGTAATATTTTCCCAAATTTAAAAGGGAAAAATGTTGTTCAGACCCCCAAATTCCAAACAAATTTCGTGGTAGCCCATCCCAACTTTTCTCTTCCGAGTAGCGTTAAAATTGTCCTAACATTATCAACGCACCCCCTCCTTTCCTTATTTTATTACTTTTTACGTGAAGTTTGACACCAACGATTTCTCTTAAAACTAGATGAGGTAAAAAAATAGGAAATTGCTCGCATCAAACTTCAGGTAAAAAGTGAGAAAATATAGAGGGAGGGGATGAGGGGTTTCACCAATAGTTTGGGAGAAAACTTAATGTCACTGAAAAGTTGGGAGCGACTACCTAGAAATAAGTTCAGAAATTGGGAGTCCACATAATATTTTCCCATTTTAAAAAGTAAAGTATACCAAAATCCGTGGTAAGTATTTTTATTTCTTTTTTAATGTAAATCAGAGGGAAGCATTTTCTTCATTAATTAATCAAAACACGTAACAAAATTAGAAGACGCATTCCAGATTTAATGTGAATCCTATAGTGATGAAACTCTTATAGAATAGTTCTGCTACTGTTCTGCTGTGTCAATGAACTCCTTTCCAAGCTTTCCTGTGGCATTCAAACCACACCTTTCAGCTCCCTAAACCTTCAAAATCAAGCTCCATGCCAAGCATATCCAGGACTCTCAGCAAAATGGACAAAATAACTAGAAATTTATGGGGCTCTTACATGGCATGTAAAAAAGAAAAAAAAAGGGAAAGAAGAAAGTCTTGACCAGATCAGATTAACTCCTTTACCTCCATGGTGCCCATTTCCAAATCTCTATACTTAATTTAACTAAAGTTGCCTGAGGCAAAAAGTTTCAGAGAGGCCTGCTCACAAAACCAGTAGAACTTTGGCCTCGATTGAGCTATTTGTTGTACAAATAGACAATGGAGAAGATGAAGAATCCCGCCATCTGCAATTAGGTGATTCATAGCAGCATAAGATACCCAACAAATGAAGGAAATAAACACTAGTTTCTTATTTTCTAAATTTGTTCAACATTACCATAGAAAATGATGAGCCGTAGTAAGGGTAAGCAGCCGTTATGAACCTCTCATATTCATTGTGTCTGAAAGGTCTTACAGGAATCTGCCAATTATGGTCAGCCAGCCAGATTTAGAACGGGGAAGACAGTTGGGGAGAAAGGACGAAACGTGACTACGTAAGAGTAAAAGGAGAATTGCAACACCATGTAAAAAATAAGGCGTAGAATGAGAGGGTAATCACAACACTGTAAGGAAAAAGCCACATTAGAGAGAAGGAAAATAACTACAGAACACACCTGCTTAGAGAGAGACAAACTTGTGTAGCCAAGTCTCTGATACGCGATTTTGAACTGGAAAACACCATAAACATCCGGGACTCGGAATGAGGTTGAATACAGACCCTGCAACAGGGGATAACTGCCAATGTCAAGCCAAACAATCTGTACAATTATATCCTTCAGTTTTCAAATTTCAAACATGTTAACCCATAGTTACTGGAATCTTCCGTCTCAGGTGGCACTCTTGCTCCTGGAATGCACTTCAGCGATTCAGGAGCAGGAATACGTTTGTCATCTTTTTGGGAACTGTCTCTCTACTGTTGCTCTTAGGAAAGAGCCCAGTGGGAACGCGCTTCCCATCTTATCGATAACTCTTTCCACAAAATAAGGAAGACGCCCCTTTATCTTTTAGCTGGCTCCATCATGAGACTCACAAAATGAATCACAAGGTGATTTTCAATTTTAAAAAGGGAAAACATTTCATTCTAAACCAACTTTAGAAGAAAAAAATCAAGCATTACAATGTTTCTAACGCTCGTTTTTTTTTTTTTTTGAAGGTTCAATAATTTCTATTATTTTTTACACTCCCTAACTAGAAGTCCTCAGAAAAACTAAAATGCCCCACTCCCACTCCTGAGCCTGCTCCTGCTGCCAAACAACTATGTGGTAACCTACCCATCATTGTGACAGACCACTCGCTTCAATATCATGCTTCATGTTCCCAAATAGATAAAGAGGAATGAATTCATGTTAGCCATCAAAAACAAAGTACCAGGGATGTATGTGTTTGTCTATTGCTAATTTTCCTATGATCACATACTTCAATTGCTTTTCTTTTTTGTGATAGACGTACACGTGGCTCATAGTTGTGCATCTCTATTGGGATATATCTGGCATATGTATCCATTTACACAACGTATCTGCATCTACATACCTTTCCATCATTGGATAAATTCTTCAAAATATAAGGACTCATCATGTAGAACTGTACTTGCACATCATCAGCCACATATGGCTTCCAGTCGTCCCCAGTCCACTCATATATCTCAACGGAATATTCCTTCAATAAAGTGTAGGCATAAGATTAGAATGGATACTTTCTCAAAAGTTGCATGAGAAGGTACCACAGTTATAAGTACAATACCAGATCATCAGTGATTCTATAGATTGCCGGTTCATTTGTTTCACCAACTTTTTGGTGCTTCACATTGACAGCCTGAAAACCAAATATATAGAGAACATAGAAACGGAAACGGTTTGATCATAAATTCAGAGTACTATCCATTGCCAAAAATAAACAAATGTTCCTAATAAATTAACTCGCTTTACTAATAGCTTAACAAATATGGCTATCACTAAAGTAACAGTGAGGTTAACTCACTTTAAGATGACCTCTTTCATGAAAGACCCATTTGCTTATTTCAGTAACAAATTGCTCGTTGCCAGACTTCTCATGTCTGCATTCATTATGAGGAACCTTTTAGCTTTAAGTAAAATCAGTTTTGAATGCCAAGAGTTGTTATTGTTGCAGATAAAGTACGGGAATTCACAGTTGTATCACTCACTTAGTAGAGCTTCCAGCCTTCTGCACACCTGATCGAAATAATCTACATTCCAAAAATGGCTTTTCTCAATCAAAAAGACAAAAACTACAGGGAGAGGGAGAGCCATAAACGTATGAAAATCTTACATACCGGTTGCTGAACATATCCAGAGAACCAGAAACCAGGATACGAGCATTGTTTCTCGCCTGCCAATGTAAAAATAAACCACCTGTAAGCATAACTAAAATCTGACTAGCAGTGAATCCCAATCCAAATGCATGGATGCGCAGTGAATTCCAATCCAAATGCATGGATGCGCAAGAAAGCATCAAAATTAAGTGTTTACAACAAAAAGTCGCTCCCAACCCACACTATCCAATAGAAAGAAAAACACATAATCAGAGCCTTTTCTTTCTATTACCTATCTCCAATGAAGTGACACGTTAGACTGAGGGTTAACTTACAGAATTGGCAACTGAAGCCTTCATTATTGATATTATTTATTAGTTTTCCTATACTAACACACATCCAGACATGTGCCTATATCTTATTTTGGGGGATACTGTGAGTCACTCATGCATTCGAAGCAACCAAACATGTGCATTATGATTAGATCATAGACTATAGCAAACATGACCAATGCATAAGCTGCTGTAATAGGACCACTCTGACACCGCAAAACAATTTCTTTGGATAATCGATAATGCAGAACTAACTGCCATGGCAACTCATACATCCAGACCATGGAGCAAATGAATCACAAGTAGAATGAACTTATCATTTAAATCCCACGCCACGCCCCGCACCCCTAAAGAACAAAAAAAAGCACCCAAAAAGAGAAGAAATCATCTAGATATACTTAATTATAGTGTGCAATCCTTGTAACAAAATTTATAAGAAGCAAATATAGCAAGAGCTGGGGAGATTCAAATATATCATATTACCTGGACAACTGAAACTAATGATATAGCTGACCCTATAAGTGATGGAGGACTTGACAATTTGGTCTTGGGGTTTGCAGAGTATGCACAAGGCGAGGCAGAAAGAACTTTTAAAACCTGCAAATTATGTATCACCCCTAAAACTTCAGAACTTCAGATATTAATAAAATATCAAATTATCAATGAGTGAAGCATTCATAATGCATCAGCAGATGCATCACAGAGAAGGTCAGACTGAAGAATTATTACCAAACTATTGGCAGGATTTAAAGAATGACCGATTCCTCGAAATAGAACAGGTGCCTGCAAGAGGAAATACAAAACTTCAGGAACAATAATGGCATGTCGTATTGTTGGAAATATAACTCCACTATCATATACATAGGGGAGAAAAACTAGGGACATGACTTCTAAATTATTTCAGCAAATCTTCTTTCCCTCCATTTTCCCTAAAATTAACAACCCCCCCCCCAAAGATTATCTAGTGCATTTAGATATTATATTTATGATCCTCACTCAAATGTAGCTGGTTACAGAAGCAATGTTTTTCTGCAAAATCCATAAAACTTGTTGTTCATAAAATCCATGAATTTCATAAGTTGATAGTTTTTTGTCTCGTATTTCTTTGTGAGTTGCTCTGCTAGAACTTTGTCTCTAATATATTGGGTATGTAAAACCGAAAATACATCACGTTGAGTTATTTTTCAAATCAAATTCTATAAGCTATCAACTCGAACTATGGACTAAATCTAAATGAGAAAGTCTATCATAATCCAGTGGAGCGTTGTATACAGTATTCCAAAGGGCATCCACCACCATACATTCCTGATAATCAGGATAGAGATTAATCATGGGAGGGCCAACTGATACACTGACCCAGATACAAGAAATCTCCACCATGCATCACAAGGAGCGTTGAATGCCCGTCAGGAGTATCTAACTGTATTGACTGTTGTGAACTGTATAGTTTCCTAATCTAAAGTGGTCTCATTTGTTCTGCAGAGACTGTAGGTTTTTAACTGTGAAAAATTCAGAACTATTATATATCTATTACTATAGCCCACACCAGGTTCTAGTATAGTTCAAGGTACAGCACAAACAGATAGAAATTACTCACACACACAAAATAAATAAATAAAAAGACTAATGCAATAAATGGATATTACATTAAGATATATAAGAAATCAAGAACTATTTGAAGTATGTAATCATCTTGAGAGAGTACCTGCTCTATACAAGAAATACAAGAAAAAAAAATGATAACAACCTCCCTCTCACCTCAGTTTTCTTACTGCCCAAAATCACATCTGACTGAAGGAAATCATCACCGGCAATCAGGGTATGATCCCCGTCAGTTGCTGACACTGCATATCCCGAATGATCAATAACGACAGCAGCTGGATCCTGAACCCAAATCACAGCTTGAACGATTAGTTAGCAAATAAAATAAATAAAGGGAAGGACTTGGGGTTGGGACCATAACTGTTAAGACAATAAAGCAAAAATTTCAACATACGATGTAAAACTCTGAGGATTACTCCCACTCCCTCCCCCCCCCCAAAAAAAAAAAAAGCAAGCAACGGATCAGATATGGCTCCATGTGAAGACTATCATTAATCAATGGGGACAATTCATATTATTTTTCTTACTGTCGGTCATAAACAACATGAGATTTCTACAAGGTAGTATGTAACAACTAAATTCCCAAATATCCAAAACCACCTAATGTGCATAGTGATGAATCCTAAAAAGCACTGTAATAAGAAAACTTTAAATCACCATTAAAAACAACTAGAGGAACAAACCTCATCGAAATCAGCCCCACATTCAGCAGCTATATCACGAACCAGATCAGATGCCCCAACATCAGCTGCAAGTATCAGATCATGACCCGAATCCACAAAGTCCAGAATTGTTGCCAAATCAATTGAACCCCCAAACTCTGCATAAAAGTTATATTTCTCATTCAATTAACAATCTTTTTTTATGGATGGCCTGTAATTACAATGGATTTATCAATCATATAGGATTAAGGAACCGAATTCCATCAGGTCCTAGAGATGTCAGTACTTCATCTAAAGTTCTCCTAGTTTTCTATACAAGAGCAAGTGAACAATTATCCATCAAAACATCATTGCTCTATAGCCTAAACATTTTGGATTGGCGAGCTCCAGTTGAATTTCAATTTAAGTTCCTAGATAAAACAAAAATAGGGTATGAGAAATGAAAAAACATTAAACACCAGCCCTCTATCTGGTTTTTTAGGAAGGGTAATCATAATAAGTTGTTGACTTGTATTTTTGACTTTCTTTTCAATTTTCCAGATTTGCAGCTGGATTTCCATCCAGCAAATTTCACCTAAATTTTGTCCAAAGTCTGCCCAAACTTTATCTGAAACTAACAAATAAAAAACAAGGAGTGAATTGATTATCAATCAACAAAACTAAACAAAATTCACCTAAAACAACAAAATTCAACCAAAATCTGAAGGACCAACTTTTTTATTTTATTTTTTCCAAAAATTCGAAGGAACAACTGTTTCCATGAAATTCTTGAAATTGGGCAGATTTGGAAAGTCTGATCAGTTCATTTCAGAAGATATCCAGTAGCTTGACCAAGATCAAAATTTCAAGCCCTCTTTTATTCAGTAACAGAATATATTTCAGATAAAACAACCATTTCCCCCTTTATATAAAGATATAAACCTAAAATCCAATTAAATAAATAAATTCCAGTAAAAAATCAATAATCCATATTAGTAAGGAAACATGCAACACCATAAAACACAATCCGATCTCATCGAGGCGCTCAAATATAAAAAATGCGAGTCAAATCAAACCCCGTGACTTAGGACCTCCTAATTCACATGTGATCATTCAAATAATACATAGTAATCAACCACATTTCACTGCAAATATACAAAATCTGAAACTACAGTTAACGTAAAAAATGCTTAGGCAGATCTAAAAACCAAGAAAACTCAGAATCTCAGTTAAACTTCAAAAAAAAAAACTCAAAATTTAGGGCTTACTTTCCACTGATGGGGCAAAGATGATCAGGCCATCGTATAAATATTGGCCATATCTCTGTAACGCGAGCTTTGAATCGTCTGCAAGTCTGAAATCTAGGTCATATCCTCTGGTTTGAAGTGACTTGAAGAAGAGGGAATGAGAATATTTAATAGCGAAATCATCGATCAGAACCAAAATGCGCTGGCTCTTAGGGTTTTCAGGAGAGAAAGAGTTACAGAGAAGAGGAAGCAGACAAGTTAGAGTTAAATAAACTGAGACTTTCGCCATTATTGAGTCTTTCGCCATGGATTTTAGGGTCCCTGCAAATTTTACTTGCAGCTGGTGCCCTCTACTTGACTGTGAATTTTTGCGAATAGCGAGTGTTTAGCGATAGAAAATTAATCATGAAGTTTCCCAAAATGCCCCTACGGATCCTTTGACTCTTGGTAAATTTCAACATGGCCATCGCCTTTAAGCCATTAATGTTAGACCAAATATTACATGCTCCCGCGAGAGCATATATGCATTTTCTCCCCATGAACCTTGCCGTTTCGACGTGTTGTAAAACTTGGATGGGGTGGCTGGATCATCGGATGGACCTATCCAGATCACGGGTCTGGGCGGGATTGGATCAATTCTCTTTTTACATATTTTTGTAAGGTTATTTAAAAAAAAAAAGTGAAAAAATTTAAAAAGTGTGATAACCAGACAATTCAATGAATCTAGATAGTTCACCTAATTTTTTGGCAAAACAAAACAACTTTGTTAAAAACATATTGATTTATCCATCTTGACTAAGAATCGAGTCTGTCCCACCAATTCATGATCCAGAATAATGATTTTTTGTCGTTGATGACTTTTCAATAAGTCATTTTAAGACATCTTTGTATGGACCAACCTCAAACATAAATAAATAAAAAAATGAGTACGGATATATATATTTTTTAATAAAATAGGGTGTGGTTTGTATAGAGCCAAGGCTTTAAACAATCAAAATAAAGCATACCTTCAAATAGTATCGAGAAATGTGGTTTCAATAATAGAAATCTTTGTGAAAGCTTAAAAATATATTTTTATCTTTAATTATAAAATTTAAAGCTTCAAAAATAGTGTAGATCAAGCAGATCTGTGAGGACTTGAAAATCTTGATAATTGGCGGTCAAAAAATATGTTACAAGGTGCATTATTTCTAACACTAAAAATCCATTTTTTTCTCATGTCCATATATATTGATATCGAGATGATCAATTTGAGGATATTGGGGCATCAAAACAACCTCTTCTAATTCAATTTTTGAAGTTGGCTCCAATTTGATTGTTTAAAGCCTCAGTTCTATATAAACTTTGTCCAATAAAATAACTATGATAGTAACAATGCTATGGATGTGACTCAAAAAAATGACATTACTGATCTTGAAATGAGATGTAAACATTTTCGGTCAAATGAACGTGTATGGAAACTCGACCTTCATTATGCTTTCCTTGAATTCCTTGTATTGGATGCGGTTTATACAGGGCATCCACTTTAAACAATCAAATTAATTTGCACCTTTAAAGTCCGCCAGCCGATAGATACAGTTCTACTGCAAAAAACCACGAAATTCTATTTTTTTTTTTATTATAATATTTAATAATTTAGTATAGATCAAGCCAATATATAAACACTTGAAAATCTTAAAAATAGACTGTATGAAGTCTCAAACTACCCATTTTCAAATTAAAAATAAAAAACATTTGCCATCAAGGGGAAGACAACATCAAAATATGTTAAATTCAAACTCGAATCTTTCTTTTTTTTTGGTGTAAAGTCTCAGCTACTTTCGAGCCCTCCTCCGGACCCAACACAAGATGACTGACTAGCACCTTATTTAAAGATAACCATTCGGCTCGAGGCTCGAGGCTCGAGGCTCGAGTCTCAGTCTCTCTTTCTCGAAGAGAACCACTCAGTTACTGCTTCCACACAAGTTTAGCTTCTCTTTGGATTCCCCTCTCTACTATCTTCGCCCACTTATTTACTCTTTCTTATCTCTACTCTCTATTTGTAGTAAATCTTTTCAAAATTTAGATGATTCTATCTCATCCATGACAACCAAAGCATGTGTGATTGTGATTGAGGCCGGCTCACAAGAAAAACCTAAGGCATCCGTGTTCCGCTCGCGGAAAAACCTCTGTATTTCGAGTTTCTTCTCCTTTGAAAATCCTAAGGCCTTGAGGTTTTGATCGTACGATAACTCGAAAAACTCTGCTATGAGTTTTTGTGTCGTTGAAAAGTCTGACTTCATATGTAACATTGTTAACATATCAAAGATAAAAAGAGATTATGAGAAGTAACATATCTATATCTATATTTATACTATATTATTAAACCAAAGTTAAAAGGTGGAATCGTGCCGCAAAAATAAGAAGGCCCCAAATTTTATAGAGTTTGTAGGACACACTTCTATATTTTAGAGAAGAGAGAAAAATTACCCGCTTTCAATATCCTAATTATAGAGAGATAATCAATGCTCATAGTTCATTGTTTTAATAAAGTATGTGCATATATTTATTTTGTTACATCTACCACATAAAAAGAAAGTAAATAACAAAATAGAGAAGCAATGTCATACGCAAGAGGGTCTCTAAACAGATAAAGACGGGGAACCAATTTTTTTGTGTGAGAGACGGACTAGGCACTTCCATACCTCATCACATAATTTTAGAGAGAGACTATAAAAGAGCCCCTTCTTCATTTGAAGAATCTTAGAGTTAGGGTTAGGGTTTAACGGTTTTTCTTGTTTTGCTTCTGAAAATTAATTAAGAGACACTAATGGTAGCCATTCGAGCTGACAAAATTAGTAATATTATCCGTGAACGGATTGAGCAATATTATAGAGAAGTGACAAAATTAATAATATTATCCGTGAATGGATTGAGCAATATTATAAAGAAGTAAAGGTTGTCAATACTGGCATTGTACTTCAAGTGGGCGACGGCATTGCTGGTATTCATGGTCTAGATGAAGTAATGGCTGGTGAATGAGTAGAATTTGAAGAAAGAACAATAGGCATTGCTCCAAATTTGGAATCCAATAATGTTGGTGTTGTATTAATAGGTGAACGTTTAATGACACAAGAGGGCAGTTCTATTAAGAATATTAAGATTAGATTCTAATATCTAATAGATTAGAATCATATTTTCTCATATTTGTTTTGTGTGGACATATACACGCGTATCATGAAAGAATAACATGCGGATATGGTCGAATGGTAAAATTTATCTTTGCCACGCATTTCTAAATATAGGATTATTTTTTATCCTTACATACATGTCCACCCCTTAATTTTGGTTGAATAATATCCACCCCCTTAACTCTGGCTTAATAATGTCCACCTCTTAACTCTTATAATATAGATATAGATAAGGGAGAAGTTTATATAGAGCCTATTCTCTCAACAATCAAATTGGAGCCTACCTCAAATGTAACAATCCTAAATTTTTGAAAAAAAAAAGAAAAGAAAATAAACTTTTAATACGTGATGATTCGTTTGAACATGATGGTCCTTAGGGACCATCTCTACTTTTCAAAGCCTTTCGTTTAAAAGCTTTGTTGCTTCTTTACGCTTGCCCCGTCCACTAAAGGACGTGGGCTTTAGTAGTTTAAAGCGTAAGCAAACGCTCACACCTGTAACGTAATAAAAGAATAAAATAATATATTAATAGAATTTAAATTCAGAGAGATGAGGACTCCAACCTTAAAAAACTTATCAGATTTTTCTCTCTGGTCAAAACACAGTGAACTCCTTTTTCTAGCCGAATTTTTATCGGAAACTCCTTCTCAAGTATTTGTGGGTAAGTGACATCGTCTTCCTGAAAAATAATCTATTTCTAATAAATAGTGATATTTTCGTCTAGGATCTTTATTTTATCAGTTTTATGTGTAAGTGACCTCATTGTCTCGAAAAATAATTCATTCTTTTTAAAAATAAAATGAAATAATTATTTATGCTTATTATCATGAATTTTAGGCGCGATAAATTTTATGCGCACTTGACCTCATTATCTTGAAAAATAATCTTTTTGATAAAAATTATGATATTTTATCTATGTTAGAAATTTTGAATGTTGTAAATTAGAAAAATAAATTTATTTATTTTTCTTGTTTATTGTTAGAAATAAATGTGATATTTCTGCTTTTAATAAAATTGTGATATTTCTTGCTACTGTTTTGAATATTTAGACATTGTAAAATTCATGTGCAAATGACTGCCTTATTATTTAAAAAAATTGACATTTTTGCAATTGATTATAGTATTGTTGTGAAATGTTTATTTGTGGATTGATATCTCATAAATTGTGATAATTCTGTATTCTTGAATTTTTATAAGAGTTTTTATATACATATTAAATTGGCAATTATGCTAGAATGCCTTTACAAACTGCTACTTTTCTAAATTTGAGCCTAAAATATTTGATTGGTTATTTTTTAAATGTTATATAGAGTGATTGTTATTAATGGTTTAAGTGAAATTCATATTAATGATTTCAGTGATATGTTGAGTACATGATATTGCTGCTTTCGAATGTTTAAAGAGATTTAGAAATAATTTAAGTATGCAAGTGGACTCATCCGGTTCGCCGGTGAGGTATAAGTGGACCTATCTGGGACGCCGGTAGGGATTAAGTGGACTCATCTGGTTCGCCGGTGAGGTATAAGTGGACCTGCAGGGATTAAGTGGACCTATCTGGGATGCCGATAGGAATTAAGTGGACCTATCAGGACGCTGATTGGGTATATATGTGACCTACTTGGGACGCCAGTAGGGTATTTTGTGAAATCCTTTGAATTATGCATTGACGCGTTAAAGTGTTATGTGCATTTCAATTATTCAGATTATACTTAATTATGCATTTATTGAAAGTGAAACTGTTGATGCATTTCTGTTAATAGATCTCATTTTGGAAAATATTGATATCTTTCAACCATGATTATTTTTAGGATTATGATGATCACTTACTGAGTAGCCAAACTCATCAAACTATGGTAAACATTTTTCAGGATGACTGCGGTTTCATTTGTGTCCTCGTCAATATCAACTTTGGGAAGATATTGTAGTTTTGCTTAAACTTTCTTTATTTACTTTGTAAGACTTCGCCACTGTAAATTTGTCCTATCAATAGATGTATATATGTTTTGACTGTCACATCTCAGGAATATCAGTATTGTAAATTCTTGGGGTGTGACATCAAAACTTTCATTAGAAGAGGTTGTTTTGATACTTATGTATCATCAAATTCATCATCTCGACATCAAGATATATGAAAATGAGAAAAAAATAGGTTTCAAGTTTTTGAAATAGTGCATATTGTAATGCATTTTTGGATCTTCAATTTTCAAGAATTTCAAGTTTTCATTGATCTGCTAGATCTACACTATTTTTTAAGCTTTAAATTTTATAACTAAAAAAAAATATAGTTTAAGGCTGCCACAAAGCTTTTGAGTATTGAAATCATATTTCTCAATACTGTTTGAAAGTGGGCTCTAATTTATTTCTCGACACTTTTTGATGGTGGGCTCTAATTTCATATTTCTCAACTCTGTTTGATGGTGAGCTCTAATTTCATTTTTATCAACAGCGTTTGAAGGTGGGCTCTAATTTCCTATTTATCAACACTGATTTATCGATACTGTTTGAGGGTGGACTCTAATTTCATATTGATATCACTGGTTGAAGGGGGGCTCTAATTTAATTGTTTATTGCATCGGCTTTATACAAACCGGACCCCATAGATATTTGTATTAGAAAGAGAATATATTCACTTCCAACTTTTTTTTAATAATTTTTTTCCTCATAGCGTGACCGACCGAAATGGGATTCGGGCCTGAGGCCACTGGTTCCAGGCCTTTACGCGGTCGGCATTAAGCCGAGGGTCCACCTCTGGTTCTTCTCCCGAAAACCTTAAAAGGATCCTTTTTGCCCTAGCTCATCTCCAATCTCTCTGTCCGAACTTTTTAATCGTCAGTATCAGCTCCATTGAACCAGGTACTCTCCCTCTGCCCCTCATCGAACCAGGGAATCTCTCTCTCTCTCCCTCTCGTACTCCCTCTCTACCTCATCGAGCCAGGGAATCTATCTCCCTCTCTCTGTCTCTCCCTCTCTCTGTCGAACCAGGACCAGGTACTCTCGCTCAACCCCTAATACTGTTTTTCCCTCTCATGTCCTAACCCTGCGTATCTCTCTCTCTCTCTGTCTCTGTGTCTCTCTTATACTGTCTCTCTCTCCAAGAACGCATCTCTCCCTCTCTCTGTCAATCAGGGAATCATAGGAACGCTCTCTCTCTCTATCAGCCACGCAACCATGGAACTCTCTCTCTCTATCTTCCCCTATTAACGAGTATCTCTGTGAATTCTGCCACCATCGGAACGTAGGCTCTCTCGCATCCCTTTTTACTGTGCCCATAGGACTTGTATCTCTCGCTCTGTCTCTAGATTTCTTTCTCTCACGCCCTGATACTACAAACCATATGAACAGGTGGCCTCTCTATCTCTCTCTGAACCTCGAAACTGAAATTTTTGGCCCATGTAGCTCTCTCTTTCTCTCCCCGAATCTCAAAACTGAAATTTTTGGCCCATGTAGCTCTCTCTCTCTCCCCGCACCTTGAAACTGAAATTTTCGGCCCATGTAGCTCTCTCTCTCTCTAATTCTCTGTTGCTGCACCATCATACCAGTAAATCCTGTCTCTCTTTCTCTATATCTAGACGTTAAATCCCTTTCTGTTATTGGCTTTCCCCCCTTCATATCCATTTACTTTTGCTTTTTTCTTTTTTTTCAAATCATCTGTATACCGAGCAACTGTAGTCCCTCTCTCTCTAGATTGCATATTTCTTTTTCTCCATTGCTGAAAACGAGATTTTTACAGTTGTTTCGTTATGAGTTTCTCTCTCTCGCTGCGTCTTCCTGTCTAACTTCTCTCTCCCTACCTCTTTTCCTTTTCATTATCTTTATATTTTATCTGTTCCCTTTTCAATGGGCAGTATTTAATTGACAGTATTCTTCTTCCGTCGCACATTGCTTCTTATTATTTGAACCATCCACCACATTTATCCCTTCTATGTATTGTATTAGCATTTACTAAATGTATAAAAAAGGTTAATTTCTTCATTACTTTTCAAGTCTGGTTCATGTAATTCCAAGCGGTGCAATCAGGATTTTACAGTAAAGATTATATATCATATTTCTGGTGTCATTGGCTTTCGGTTGATTATTTGAGCCATGAAAAATCAGTGCACTAGTTTATCAAATCCATATACTAGACTTGCTCATCTTTCCTTCTTCCTTATCTCAATTGAGCTGCTATGAAATAATGAATGGTTAATACCCGTAATTATTTTTGAATTCATGTAGTGTCTAAATTGTTGATCCATCCTTTCGAGTGATGAAAATGATATTAGTGTGGTATAAGATTGATATATGTTGTTGTTTGATTCTTTTTTTTTTTTTTTTTTAACATCATATATGTTAGTGTTTCAAATATTTTCTTGGTTGAACATTCATAGAGTCATGCTATTGCAATTTGGTCTTTGGGTATTGTATTTCTTGTTTCTGTGTGTCGATTTTTCTTAACTATGGATGAATTCCAATGCTATTTGGTATTTGTTATTAAAAAAAGAAAAGAAAATTTGAATACTCGAATTGGGTTTCCATAACTTATGTAATACGACAATGTTTATTTATTTATTTTGAGAAAAGATATGACAGTGTTGTAAGTAGAATGAGGATGAAGTCATCTGTTTGCAACTTTGCATTAGTTTATTAAGGATGCATTTTATATGTGGTTTACTGTTTGTATCCCAATGGGTTCAAGGTATGCATACTTTTTGTATGGGAATAATACATCTGTAAGATGTGAATTGCATTTGTCTACAATGGATCCATTAGTACATATAAACTTTATTTCTCTGTACACCTATATCTTGAAGGGATGCATACACTTTTGAATGGGGATTGTTCATTTGTTAGTTATGGCTAGTCAGAAAAGGAGATCCAAAATTGTTGCTCGAGACATGAGAGATTGTAAGACCTGTGGTTGTAAACAAATATTCACTTCAATTGTAGGGTTTTCTGCTCATATCTGTTTTCTTATAGATTCATTATGATATTGAAATTGAAAAACTAAGTGCTACGTTATGTTATTTTCTCTGCTAATTCATTTTCATCTTTTTAATCTGATGCATTTCCTTTTGAGCGCCTATGTACTGGGAACTCTGTTTTTCGTTTAAAAAATAACTAGGAATTCGATAACCACGGCTGTTTTTCATGCAATATTGTTTGTTTCATATGGAATTCTTTTTTGTTGGATTAGGATAGGCAAAAGCAGTAACATTTGAAAAATCTAAAATTAAAAAAAGGCATTTTCTGATATTGTTGGTGGTTAGTTGTACATTCATATGATATTCAACAATAGCGGTTTCTTTTTTTCCTCTAGATGTCATTTATTTCATTCCAAGCAAAATTTTCAGCTGGTGATCTCGATCGCAAGCAGGGTTGAGTTCAGGAGATCTGCTGGGAAAAAATAGCTATGGTTGAGAAGGAGTCATTATGCCTAATAATGAGCTCAATTTTTGAAAACTCGGCCGCCTGGCTGCCTAGGTGGCCCCCTAATCGGATGAGTGGCCAAAACGCCTAGGCCGCATCTTGGCGCCCGCCTGGGCTGCTTGCATCTAGGTACACGCCTTGGTGGTGTAGTCAAGGGGGTGGTGGGGGGGGGGGAAGCAGGGTATTCTAAACCCCCACAACCCAATCCGTGGCTTATAGAGAGATAGAAACTCCCTAATAGCCTCGAATCTGTGATTTATTGAAAGATTGATAAATTTTAGAATTTTTTCAATTTCTTCCGAAGTCAAAGGCAATAATTTAGTAGTCGATTTTGAGGACTTTTGGCAACCCAATAGACGAGGTTTGGGCTGACATCGTTTTAATTTTGACATTTTTAGACCATTATCATAGTTGAATAAGAGTTTTGATTTTTTTTTTTTGCTATAACGTATTATGTTGTGAATAAATTTTTTTTATTGTATTTTTTTTCCTTTTATGATATTTTTACATATTTGTAGTTGAAAGATTGAATTTTTTGTGATTAATTGATTTTTTCCTCATTTTGACGATGAAATTGGGCATATATCGAATTCTTTTATGAATAATTGATTACTTTTTTGTACAATGTGCCATGTTTTGATATTCTATTATTTTTGTTCTATTTTTTTTGATAAATTAATAATTATGTTATATATTATATCTTAATTCGTATGGAAGTTATATATGATTATTATTTTTATATTGATATCATATATTCATTGTTTTATATTATGTGATTTTTGTTTCATAATTTTTTTTTTTTTTTTTTGTGACTATAATATTATGTTTCCCCTTTTTCACCAGGGGTTTGGAGCTCCAAAATTGCCCGAAAAACTCACCAAGGCCTAAAACCCTGCCCTAAAAACTCCTTTGTCCTTTTTGGTTTTTTTGTTTTTTGTTTTTTGTGAGGGGGGGGGAGGTCTAACTGTCCCTGGGTGGGCATCTAGGCGGCCAGGGTCCCTAAACGCCTAGGCACCCGCCTGGGCGTTTTTGTACGTTCAATGAGCTGTTGTGGCTTGCATGGAACTCTCTTTGTTTTATTTGAACTTTGCATTAAATGCATATTTCTTCTGAATGGAATCTAAGCTACAATTTATGCCTAATCACTGTCAATTAGATGCACGAGTGAGTACTGTTTTATTTCCAATCAAAACAAGGCACTGTTTTCATTGCTTTGTGCATTTTGCTAATGCATGTAATGGGTTTGTACTTTGTACTAATCACATTGCTTTGAATGTCAATGTCAGCGATGATTAGACTATTCAAAGTCAAGGAAAAGCAGAGAGAAGCTGCTGAAAATGCCAATGGCAGAGCACCTGTCAAGAAGCAGAGTGCTGGGGAGCTTCGGCTGCATAAAGGTTCCTATTTTGTTACTTATGTGGATACTAATGTATTGCATCTTTTATGTCCTTATAATTCATAATAGAATCGCTGGCTGAATTATTGTATGTCATGGGTGGTGACCTAAACCCTTAGATATGACAAATGCCATTTAGTACCCATAAATTGCAGCTAAAGAAAATGATTTGGAAATCCAAACCCTTTAAATTTGCAAAACAATTGATTCAGCGTTGTCTTGGACTTCACTGAACTAGTCTCCACAGTTTTCTTTTGGAACGTTGCATCTCGTTCTGAAACGATACTGCATTGTACATAAGACGGGATTTTTTCTGTTGGCTATTTTCTTACTTTATGTCTAAATGAAAGACCTCCTTGGCTGGGCCGGATTAATCAGCTCAGGCCATAGCTCTATTTGTGTTGATTATCATTCATCTAACACTTGAGCATTAAAAATCTGAGACTCTTAAGTTCTTTTGAGAGTACAGTTAATAGCCCTAGAATTTACTTTCATGATGTCATGCCTCTAATGTGATGTGATATGTTTTTGGTATTACTAATTCCTATGATCTATTTTCTCTATAAATTAAATTCTCTATAAAGGACCAGTTTTTTTTCCTTTGTTGTTGGTAGACTTGGGTTTAGTTTTGTTATTTTAAAGTTCAAAAGTTCAAATTGGCAACAGTTCAACACAACCATAATTATGTGAATTGGGTAAATTGCAATATTATGACTTCAGTGACATTATTGTAGCACAACAAGAGTCTGTCTTTGTTATACTATTTCAAAACTAGCATAAACTTCCCCAAAACCTTATACCTCTTGTTCGATTCTCCAAATCCAGCTGGCTATCTGATTCCCCACTATCCAAATGAGCTTCCTTTTTGGGTCTCCACATCTCCTTTCAAGTTGCAACTACACCAGGGGAATTCTTAGTGTAATCCCATAAGAGATTTTCAATTTTAATAGATCTTTCCATTTGATATATAGGTGGCGGAGATCAATCAAGTGATCTACCAAGGTATTTAGAAAAGAAACATCTAGCAATCTACCCAGTTGAATGTCTATAATTGTGGACTATGGTTAATATTTGGTGCCTATTGCTAGGAACAATGCTGGATGCTTTTGTTCTGTATCATATACCAGTAGTTGGATGAACGTGCTTTGCATGTGCAGCAAAACAAGAGAGATATAATAGCCCCTTAACTTCAAATTTTTATCTTATTATATCAAGCTTTATTTCCAGTACATATTGACATAAAAACAACTCATTATTTTTAAAGTACTTTGTATAAAAATTATCCTCTGAAATAAAAAGATAAGTTTTTCTTATGGTGGGTTTCTTTGGAAAAAAAGATTTGTGTTATAGAGAGCATGGGATGAGATAAAAGAATGATATTTTGACTGGGGGGTTTCCTTTTCGCATATAGAAAATATTCGAGGAGATAGACATTAAATTAGATCAGAACTTGAGCTATCCTGAACTCTCTCTCTCTTTCTATAAGCTCTCCCACGATAGGTACGGTACCCTGAAAACTTTCTCTTGGTAGAGTCCTATTCTAGTTGAATGCTGTGAGTCTGCCCTTTAGAATGTATCATAGATACATTAGGACCTGTTTGTTTGCACCCACTATCCTGAACTGTTTAGGATGTTGTGCAATCCAAACTAATCATAAACTGTTTAGGATGTTGTGCAATCCAAACTAATCCCAAAATGTGGAAAACACGTTTTTTTTTGTTTTTGTGAAAGCCACAAAATCAAAAGAGTAGCCTTTAGTTTTGCGATAAGGGCCCAAAATCAGGCTCATTAAAATTCAAGTGAGCCTTGAAGTGTTGTTGATCACAAAGAAGAGCTAACGAGCAGGTGGATTCTGTTAATAATGAGCTGGTTTTGTTTTCCAATCCCTGGTTGAGCACTCTCCTTGCCGATAACTTTTGAGGAAAGAGAACCAGGAGAGAGAGGGGCATGATCTCACCCTCATGAAGCAACCTCAGGTCCATAGCCACCATAAAAAATTCACTTCTAATCTGATCAAACACCCTTCTTCACTCCATCAATAACATAAAAGACACACCCATAGGAAAAACCCTTTATCTTCAGAGTTAAGAGAACCTAACAAGCAAAGTTTGGAGAACTAGAACGGGATGTCCAAGCCTAAGCTCAGTCTCTTTCAAATTCCGGGTGCTTGAATGTTCTTCCTTTGATATAGCAGATCTTTACATGGATGAAACCTCTAATAAGCATGTGCAATCATTTCTTTGAGGCTACATTCTCCTGGGATATCATTTAGATTCCAAGATTGGGAGTCATGGAGCTTCAAATCCTCCCAAACAAAAGGAGAGAGGGGTTTTCTTTTGGAGAGAGAGAGAGAGGAAAGGGGGGAGTTTTTTGTTTTTTTTACTCTGCTGGAAAATTTATCCAATCATATTTAGTGAACTTAGCGTTGCCACAGTCGATGGGGAATCCTCTACGACTCTCCATTCTTCTCCCTGTGTCAATTGAGTTTTTTGAGTGACACCTTTGTAAAATGACAGCTTATTCTTGAGGTCAACTTTAATGACCATAATTTTTTCTTTAACTATGAGATTTTCTTGATCATGATGCCAAGTGTGTTTCAAATGTTTAATGTGGGAATAACTCCAATGGGGTTTGATTTTTGTTTTTAAATTTATTTTTCTAGCCTCAGCTGTTTCTCTTACCTGGATGCTGTTTTCAATCTTGATGGAATATCGATTTTGTTTCGTTTAGTGTTTAGAAACCTAGCAATTTCCTATCTGGATTGCCGATCCGGATTATTTTATCTCATTTATTCTTTAATATTATTCTAGATCACCGATTCAGACCGTCCAAAATGGATTGAATCAACAATTCAACAATCTGACACAGCTCTGTGGGTGACTAATTTGCCCCACCAATCCGGGGTTTAAAACACTGGTTTCGTTTGTTGATTTTTTTTCCCTCCTTGTGAAAAATTACTTGTCCCCAAGGTTCAAGGTTATAGTGCTATTTCTAGGATCATGAAATCTTCTTAATTCTGTTTTCTTCTTTCTTTTACCCTTTATCATGCAGATATCAGTGAGCTGAACCTACCCAAAAGTACCACCATATCATTTCCCAATGGAAAAGATGATTTGATGAACTTCGAGGTTAGCATCCGACCTGATGAAGGATATTACCTGTAAGTGATCCAGTTTATCGTACGGCCCCTTTATGTTTTTAGGGAAATTGTTGTAAAGTTTTATGGACATTGAAAAGCCATTGGGTTCTTTACTATCCAATGGATTATTTATAATTGGACGGTGAAAGAGTGGTCCCTCCAGGACAGGACATGGTCCCAATGTTGGGTTCCTCTTTCTCACCATCAATGTGGTCCTGAACAGGACTGCTTTATCTTTTGGTGCTTCCTTTTGCAATGGAAACAGAAGAATATGGATGCTATTCCAATTGTATTGCATTCAGTGCTTTAGCCTTTCTCTATGATTGGTTGAGCTTGCTTTTCTAGAAAGGTCTACAAGATTAGCTTTTTCTTCTGCTAATTTTTACCCTTTTATCAATGTGACATTGGAGTTGCTTCCCATGTCATTCAACTAGTAATCTCTTGCTTTCTTGTAGTGGTGGTACCTTTTTGTTTACTTTTCAGGTATCTCCTATATATCCTCATGAGGCTCCAAAGGTCAAGTGCAAGACAAAGGTGTGTTCTCCTATATCACAACAAGCAAGTCATTTTTTTTTTTTAATTCTCTTGTTTCGTATACTGGATGGTGATGTCTTATATTGGCTCAAGCCATAAATTGGGTTTTGCTGCTTGTTCCCATACCATGTGCAGGTATATCATCCAAATATTGACTTGGAAGGAAATGTGTGTCTTAACATTCTGCGTGAAGATTGGAAACCTGTATTGAACATCAACACCATCATCTATGGCTTACATCATCTTTTCACGGTAATACATTTCTATGTTGATATTTTTGAACATGTACCGTGTTCACCGTCAATACTTATTTTTGAATTCTCTCTCCACATTTGATTCTAGTACAACTATTATGTTTTGCATAATGAGAGTGGAAGAGATAAAAATTAGAGGCTCTAGATTTTGTATCTTCCCTTATCAAACTATATTTCCTTTATATGAGAGAGAGAGAGAGAGAGAGAGAGAGCATTATGATGATAAAAGCTGTAGTTTTTGTAGCTTCTTCATCATACTATGTTACCTGTATATGAGAGAGAGAGAGAGAGAGAGAGCATCATGATGATGGAGGCTGTAGATTTTTGTAGCTTCTCCATCATACTATATTACCTGTGTGTGTGTATGAGAGCGAGAGCGGGTGAGCATTATGATGATAGAAGCTGTAAATTTTTGTTAGCTTCTCCATCATACTGCATTACCTAGAGAGAGAGAGAGAGCATCATGATGACAGAGGCTGTGGCTGTAGATTTTTGTAGCTTCTCCATCATACTGTATTACCTGTGTGTTTGTGAGAGAGAGAGAAGTAGCTCCTTCGAAGAACTAAAACTGTTTGGATGGCATTTTCTCTCCTTGTGCAGCAACCAAATCATGAAGATCCTCTGAATCACGATGCTGCTGCAGTCCTAAGAGACAACCCTAAGATGTTTGAGGTCAATGTGAGGAGGGCGATGGCTGGGGGCTATGTGGGCCAAACCTACTTCCCCAGGTGCATGTAAAATGAAGTTTCCCCACCTCCTGGTCCTCGAAAATAATGTCAGAGCCCCAAACTCAATAGCCCGGCTATGCCCTATTTCTGAAACCTTAGTGTTATGGCTCAGTCCTGGTGCCTGATTCTGTGTAATTGATGGGGTTCTGTGCCCTCTCTCCTCCTGTCAAATCACATTTGTGTAAAGTTGGGAAATACTGGTTTGGTTTATGCTTGTTTTGGTTTGGTTTGAAGGTGTAAACTGATATACTGTCATGTGTATGTTTCCATCCCAATGACTTCGGTATCATTTTGTATGTGTATTCTTCTAGGGGTTAAACCCTTTTATTTAAGTGTGAAAGCCCTCAAATAGTGAACTTTGAGGTGGCTTAGTGTGAAAGCCTCAAATAATGAACTTTTAGGTGGCTTATATGGTTATTAAGTAACTGAATATCCCTTGTAACGGTACAAAGGACTATTAGGAACATGCTCATATGACCATGCATTTGGTAGCTCAATTAGAATTCAAGTTATGAAGAATCTGAAATGCTTATTCCTTCAATCTCTTTTGACATTTTTGAGTTTATTTCTTTTATTTTATGCTCTTAGATTTTAAGAACCTTTTTAAAACTCTAGTTAAACTCTACTTCGTGGTCTTTTTTGGACCTGATACAGTAAGCTTGCACCCGCATTTGTGGAAGCATTTGCATGATTAATGTTTCCAACAATGTCTAAACCTGATTCCAACAATTTTGAAATCGACATTTGTCTTTTGGTATAGTGGATGTGCACTTGCTCATAGGCCTCTTTTTTTTTGAAGTTTCGAAGGCAATATTCATGTTCTTGAGTTTGCCATACTCCAATAATTTCAATGAGATCAATGAATGAATATAACAAAGACAAAAAGGATCAGTTTCTTTAGTACAAATCAATGTTGTGAATTGTACAACAAAGATAAAAATGATCAACTTTTTCAGTCCAACTCTACAAATGGAAGAGGGGAAAACCGGCAGGCATATTAAATTGAGCTCAATCAGCCTACGAAAAAAAAAAAAGGAGAAACTTTGACACTACATTCATGTGAGCTCAAGGTCTTGCTCTTTCAGAGTTGCAAGCTTCACACACTCTCGATCCCGCTTAAAAGTTAAATGCAAAGGTGTGTAAAACAAGCAGCAGAGCCCAAAAGGCACAGCCATCATGGCAAAAAGCCCTCGCGACAGTGCGAAAGCCTCTTGAACAGATCCTGAACCGAGCTTGACAGACTTTGGGTTATACCCATAAAGCTTCTCGGATAACATCCCCACTGCAGGAGCTGCAAAAGCTGAGAAAGAACCTTCAAAGGCTCTATCAAAAGCATAAATCATCGTTCTATGTTTAGGCGGAACCACCTCAGCAAAAATCGGGTTGTTAGCACATGTAGCACACCAACTAATGGTTAGGCCCATAAGGAGGAGGGTGACTGCAAAGATGAAAAAACTACTTTGAGACTGGGGAATAATAGTAAGAAGGAACCACGAGAAGGGGATTCCCATGAATGCGCTGAATTGTGCACACATTACTCGACCAGAGTCAGGGTATAGGTGTGAGATCCTGTCAGCTATGACACCGCCAAGGAGATTGCCTAGGGCACAACCGACCGCAAAGAGACTGAGGAGGGCAGCTGAGCTCTTGTGGTTGAAGCCTGCAAATTGTGGAAGTAAAAGGCATAGTGAGTCTTAGATTTTTCAAAGTAAAAATGTGGTAAGTCTCAAAATTGCATGAGATAGATATTTTTTCTAGTATACCATGATTCCATAGTTCTTAGGATGGAACCAATCAATTGAAATTATGGATGGCTATGGAGAGTGAGACCCGCCACGGGTGTCATCTTATTCTGGGGGGGACCTACACTGTTGCCATCATCATTGATCATTTCAATGGATGCCGATGGACTGAAGTTTTAGGGTTTTCCACAATCTTTCGGATTAATGCACACTCCATTGGGAATAAAAAGGAATAGTTAATTTTATTAATAAACAAGAAAGAGACTGTAAAAGGGACTCACAGATAGGTCACTTAGGTTAAATCCTAAGACTCAAGTACTCTGTAAGTGACGCAACAATTTATAGTTGGTTTTATAAAGGTTGGGAGTTTAGTGTTTTATTTTACTTTATTTTGTTTTTGTAGACATTATGGAGCTGTGTCTCCAAGATTATTGCTTGGCTTCAAATTCAAGTGGTAGACACATATATGCCTTATGAGAAGTATTTCAAGATTACTCTTGAAGTCGTTACGAATACTCTAGCAAGTTTGTCATCAAAGGAAATCAGTCCAATGGGGCTAATTTAGCATTCAGCCATGAGCTTATATGGCCTGGTTCTCACAAACTCACCCTAAAAGTTTGACAAACAATGTTTTGACACTTAACATTTGTTTCTTTGACAAAAGCACCCCATGTTTTTACCTCCAATATTTTCATTTCTTCAAATAGTTTGCAATAAAATTGAAAGAGATAATCATTGAGCTCACCGATTAGTTCGAACCACATGGTAAAGAACACCATTGCTGTCCATGGGAGAGAACCCACGATCCCTTGCAGGACTACGATTCGAAAGGTATGCACTTTCATGACAGACTTCATAGCCATCCAGGAGTCTTCCCATGTTGATGGTGAAACAGGAATGCTCTTTTCTATAAAGTCCATCCTAGAGAGAACATAAGATTGTTATATTCCTCTGTAAACACAATCAGAACATTGAATCTGACACAAGTTAACCAAAAGGACATATAAGTTGCAACAACTGTACATCTGTATCCAAAGTAAACCATTTTCTTTTGCTACTAAAAACAAGGAAATAAACAAATAAAAGATAAAACTTAATAAAAAAAGTACACTATTGTCTAATAGAGTATGGAAAATAACAGCACCTCGGGTCATCATCGTCTAATGAAATGAACTGTAATGGAGAGACACTGGGGACCATTATGGAGGTCCTGGCATATTCTGGTGGTTCCATCCCTCTCCAACACCATCCATCATTTCATTTGAAGTAACCCCAATCGAGCGTAATTTATTTCAAAAATTTATCTTTCGTGATGATAAAGAAATCATGGTGAGGTAGCTTCAATCCTCTAAAATCAATCCAGATCTAATGCCATGAAAAATAATATCACATGGAATCATTTGGCCTAGCATGAAGTTTCCTAGGGAAAAATGAATCGCCAAAGAATGATCTCTAATGGTTGCCTATACAATTAAGATCTATGTATGCTTTATCCATTCCTACAATGGCTGTTTTAAATTTTTATGGAATTACATAACCTATTACCCAAGAAGAAAGTGCAATCCTCTTAAAATGGTCAGACCGTCTAAGTCTATTTTCCCTTATCTTATTGCCTATTGGAGCCACCTCTAAGTTTCCTTAGATGATACATTCAGAATTCTATCTTTTTTTGTCCTGTTGCTCATCCATCTCAGCATCTTCATCTCACTTACACCCACTCCATGGATATGTTACGTATTGAGTGTCCAATATTCCGTCCCATAAAACATGGCTGGTCTTACAACTGTCCTATAGAAATTACCCTTGAGTTTCATTAGTATGCAACAATCACATAAGACTCCAAACACATATCTGCACTTAGTCCTGCCAGCTTTAATTCTATGCATGACATCTTTGTCAATCTCTCAATTTTCATTGATTATTGATCCAAGATATCAAAAAAATCTCTTTTTGGTACTTCTTGGCTATCAATTTTAACTAATTCCTCGTTTCTACTCCTATTATTATTAAACTTGCATTTCATATATTCTTAGTCCAGCAAATTTTAAAGCCTTTAGATGAGTTTCTTAAATGGTATTTTTCTCCCCACCACCATAGTAAACAATGACTGCTATTTTTTAAAGGTAAACAGTGCAGCACAAATTTTTGCTGGTCAAAATTTTCCAGGTGAATTGTCTAGATATCCAGAAAGTTCTTCGTCCTAATCAGCAAGTAACCACTGGTGAAAGGCCAGTATACAGGAGTGCCAAAAGAAAATAGAAATGAAGGAAACAGATATTGCAAACACATTAATATGCCCAAAAATTATGGCTGAAGTGCCTATCTAGTAATCCCAAGGCATGTTGGCATCTACCATGAAAAAATTTGAAAATTCAAAGATATTCTTGTAACCACAGGATCTCTTTCTCTGAGTCACCATAGAACTTTCACAAGCCTAATAATAAATTCTCCACTACAATTGGCTGACCATAAGGATATCTTTAGTAACCTGTCACATTATCAGAATATATTCCTAACTATACAGTCTACATGTGTTATTTAGCATGCCTTACCTATAACATTTTACTAATTATAGATCCAGCAAAATGGGACTGGATATTAACTCATGGGATTAAGCATTCTTCTGTATTTCACAGGTGAAAGTTCTTCTCAATTTCAGCTTCTTCAGTAGAACTGCAACATAAATTAGTATACTTGTGGTATAGGATCCCTTTTTTGTGGTATAACTTTAAAAAAATTAAAATTTTATGTGAACTTGGTCCCAATAATATGACAACTTACAAACTTCACATGGTGTTGGATTGATAAACCCATTAGAAAAGCCTGGGCTTGAATGGCTAAGATATTATAATACGCAAAATAAGAGAAAGGAAAATATGTCATCCACTAGTGGAATGGTATGCGTACGCCATGGTTAATATCTACCTTTGGGTCTGGAAACATTGGTTATTCTCCACCATCCTCAGTCAAGAATGGATGGTGGATAACCCCGTGATGTACAATATACCATGTACCACATACGAAAAATATGAAAGACTTTCCTTGGATAATATATGAACCAAATTTATCATCATACAACTTAGACCAAGAAACAAGGAAGTACCTTTCAGCATTCTCAACGTGGCCAGAAGCCAGATTTCTTGGGTCAACAACAAACAAGAATACAAGGAAGCCAATCAATAAACTCAGTAGAGCCATCATTATAAAAGCACAACGCCAACCCGTGATGCCCCAATAGTCATGACCAGCCATAACAGTAGCCACCACCCCACCACCTATCCCCCCAATAGAGCCGACAAGGTTAAGCAATCCAAACCCTCTTCCTCTAACTCCATCCAAGTAACTATCTGCAATAAAAGATTGCAGAGCTGGTATAACAATGGCCAACCCAACCCCGTTGATGGCTCTCCAAAATGCAACTTGTCGAAATTCTTGGCTAACTCCAACTGCAGCAGTTGATAAGGCCCAAAAGAGGGTCCCCATTGAAAGAATAGTGGGTCGATCGTAATGGAGGACTAATATGCCTGCTATGGGTGAGGCTAATGCTTGCACAAAGTTGCGTATAAATGTGAGATATCCTAGCTCAGTTGGACCTGCATTGAAAGCATCGCTCACTTCTTTGTAAACAGCAGGGAGAAGGTTCTCATCAGCGCGCTCCATAATGGAAGCCATGTTGATGAGAATAAGAGAGAGTGAAATCCCAAAGATCTTCTTCGTTCTGTGGGGAAAAAAAAAAGCAGGAAATGAGAATACATAGCTAGTGCCAATGGGTACATTAGATTTAGGTGACTCAGTCAATAGGTAAGCAATAAAAGATTTGTAATGAAACAAGAGAACCCTTTTTTTTCTTTTCTTTTTTGAGTTATGATAGACTGAAAGACAAGAACAATTCGGTTTATTCATATGCAGTTTACAAGAACAACAACCAAAAAAGGGTAGCAGAACCCCCTAAATCAGTCAGTATTATTAAAAATGGACCTAAAAGGCTGGTTTGACCCAGTGATCAAAACCTTCTGCCTTGGAACTCAGCACCTGCTCAAGCCAAGTAACTCAGGCATGTCCAAGTGGACTGGTTGAGTCGTGTTGGAGCCAAAAAGGGCTCAAAATTGCAAAATAAAACTACAAAAAAGATGCTAAAAAAATTGGTAAAAAAGAGAAAAAGTTATAGGCATCATTAAAAGTCTAAAGTATGAAAGAAAGTACGGACTATGAAATATTTTGATTTATAGCTTGAAAAAATTCAGAAAAATGCAAAAAAAGAAAAATTATAACCATCATTAAAAGTCTATAAACTATGAAAAAAAGCTATATAAAAGATGGAATATGGAAAATTTTGATTTGTAACTTGAAAATTAGAGCTGGGTGTGCGAAGTAGAGATGTGCAACTAGAATTTTATGTGATCATCGCATACCAATGAGGCTGAAGGGCAAGTTCTATAGGACAATGGTGAGACCAGCTTTGCTCTATGGTGCGGAATGTCGGGCAGACAAAAAACAATATACCTATAGAATGAGTGTAGCGAAGATGAAGATGTTGAGATGGATGAGTGGTAAGACAAGAAGGGATAGAATTTGTAATGAATCTATTCGAGAGAATTTAGACGTGGCATCAATAGGTGATAAAATAAGAGAGTAGACTTAGGTGGGCTGGTCATGTGTGGCACCGACCGACCAAGTACAACACTGTTAGGAGGTGCGAATTAATTCATGTGGAAGGACTGAAAATGGCAAGGGGTAGGTCCAAAAGGACGTAGTTGGAAGTAGTTCGAAAAGATATGAGGACTTATGGCCTCATTGACGATATGACCTTTAATAGAGCAGAATGGAGAACCAGGATTCATGTAGCCGACCCCAATTAATTGCAAAGAGGTTAAAATGATGATGATCATGATCTTGAAAATTTTAAAAAAATACAAAAAAAGCAAAAAATAGAAAAGTATAATCAGAAAAATTCACAAATTATCATGAAAAACATATAAAAACATATTTATACATCATTTATTAATTGATTTAGTCACATATATAATTTTTTATGAGTTTTCTATATACCCAATTCCGTAGATTATACTCGTTTCAGCAGGATGCCAAGGCTGAGTAACTCAGCTGAGTCAATGTTGACTCGGCCAAGTTTTCGAATATTGGTTTGACCAAGTTCTAGTTTAACAAGATGGTATCGTAGTTTCTATAAATCAAATATAAGAACCAGGCTCGGTTTCTTAAACCAATAAGTCAAGTCATCTGGTTGTTTGTTTGGCTTAGAGAAAGTGGCCTAGTTTCAGCTTTCCTTTCTCCTAGATGGAACAAATTTCCATTCAATTTTGGATTGAAATGAAACAGAGTGCTTTGGTGTGAACCAGTTAGTCAGATGCAAAGCTTTCTAGCTTGTTCATTGAAAAGGTTTTTACTTATTTATATTCAAAGCTAAAAAAGTCTCAAACTTGATGGTTTGCTAGCCCAAACCTGCTGATCCATCCAATTCAGCTTGAACTAGCCAAATTAGAGAGGTTTGGATGCATGCAATAGGAATATAAACATAAAGCCTGTAAATCCTTGTCACTTTGCTCAGGTTCATTTATTTGTTACCTGATACAAATTCAATTCAAGAAGTCTCTGATGGTGTATATTCTCCATCCATTATTCTCTAGGCACCAAGGTCCATCAGGGAAAAAGTCACAGATACAAGAATTTTAACATCACTTTTTTCCTTTGTAAGTTTATGATGTTTTTTTTGCAACTTAGTCCATATGTATTTTGGTGTCTCCTTCAAACCCATATAACTTGGATGCATATGTCCATGTTTCTTGACACATTTTGACACACCAAGGCAAAACACACATATTTGTCACTTTAGAAACTAATACACTTTCCTAAGTGACATATGGATGTGCCACGTCTCATGCCGGAAATGCCAATTTTGGGTTGGCACTTCTCACATGCATATACATATCTGATGCTTGAAATGCCTATTTGAGGTTGGCGCTTCTGACATGCATAGCCATGTTGGATGCTGAAACACATTTGTGAATTTGTAACATGGCATCAAACCAACATATTTTTTTTATAAGTTAAAGGCATCAAACCAACATGTTGTGTAATCTGATTTTCCCAAATAAAAATGCAATGATATACTCTTATAGTAACATATTTACATTTTCTAAGTAAATTACCTCACTGATCATGGCACTCACTGCAAAGCCTGACAACTCAGTCTATATTTTTAATTTGATGGATGACATCCCAACTCAAACTATACGAAAAGTACATTAGGAACCTCCGTTCTCTTTCAAGACTATGCATCCAATTGCCCTTTGTTTAGCAATTCAACCTACCACCTCAAGAACCCGTTTCCGTGGGAGAAAGCGTTTACCTCAAGTTGTTCTAGATGATTAATTACGATTCCTGTATCTCCCTATGGATACTCAAACCCCATGATTCATGACCATTGCCAACCACGTATCAGATGTTAAAGCATGTATTCTCCCTTTAAACACAGACTTCCTTCTTCAATAACAGTAACGAAGTTGGACGGATCACAACAAGCAACCATAATTTGAGATTTGAGCAACCACCTCTCTGGTTGGGCAACAAGCTTATGGGTCAGGCCAATTCAAGCAAAGCCAGAGGTTCCAACATACAAATCTGGGTCAACTATTAAGCAAATAACCAAGCTAGGCAAACGCAAAAACAAATTCATCCATAGCTGTGAAATGATAAATTTAAACAGGTCAGCTCAAAGACCAGTCCACAGTATCCACTAAACTAAAAAATCAGGCAGCTAAGCAAATTTTCAAAAACATTTAGAAAAAACTCATTTAAAATTTACCTATAGGACTGGTTCCCATATCAAATTCATATCGTAAACAATATTGAAATAAGTGCCAAAAAATGATTTTGCTGTAACCAAAAATCATACCCAGTATTCTACCATTTCTTCTGAAAATAAATCCACATATTTCACAATCTTCAGAGAAAACATGAATTGATAGAACTCTTTATCAGTCCATATGGAGTGACTTGTATATGAGAAAAATTAAAGCAAAAACGCATAAAAACAAAACAAATGAATCAACCCATTAACGGTTTAGAGATAGAGAGCAATTTAGTTCCAGGAAATACCAGAGAGAGAGAGGGAGGAAAACAAGGGGCTTACTTCATGGTTCCTGATTTCCGAGTGATGGGTTTAGAGAGAGAAGAATAGGCCTTGCGCCTCATCATAAGAGACTCTGCAAAAGAATGCGATCTTTCCACAAATAGGCCTCAAAAGATAAGACCCAATTGGAGATTCCATCACAAAATAGAGCGTAATCCAGTTCGCTCTTTATTTTGTCCTATGGATCAGATTTGCAAGTTTAAATTCAACATACAATCCAATCTTTCCTTTAAATGAAATAGACCGGATTGGTATCATATTTGCAGAGAGAGAGAGAGAGAGACTTTTCATACAGAACTGGTAACATTAACGATGAGAGAGAATTTTCAAAAAATCTTATAGGATTGACGATGAGAGAGAGAGTCATTCATACAAAACTGATGTAACTTAGGATGTGAGTGAGAGAGTATTTTTTATATAGGAATTAAGATGAATTGGACTACCAAGCTCTTATTTTTCGTCATGATCCATGTAAGGCTTACGTCAAGGAAAGGTTTAAGGGAATACCCTTATGTTTTGGCTGATTTTCCATATGCCCCTTCATTTGCCGGTCCAAACTGGTCCAACTGATCCCTTGGAGCTTGGACCCCGGACCCCGGACCCCTAATGGTGCATTTGCAAGTCAAGTCCAAAATAAAATCATGCTCGGCCAAAAATCAGTCAAAAATATTATTTTATTAGTTAAATATGTCAATTTTAATTAATTCGACTAATTAAATAAAGTTGAAAAAATATTTTTACTATATTTTTAAATTTTATATATATATATAATCCGACCCAACCCAACCCAACCCGTTCGATTAGTAGTCAAACTGCCTTTAACCAATCCCTCTCTAGTCGGGTGACTGGTATGATCATGATAACATTGGTCAAGACTACGAATCTAAATTAATCCCATGTATTTTAATAAAGTCGCGACTTCATTTAGTAATATCTCAGATTATACCATAAAACCCTACGATGCAGTGCCCTCCAAAAAACTTGCAAATAGATGTTTCCACCTCAATGATTATGGATCGAATAAAAATATATGTTTCCACCTTAATGATTATGGATCTAATAAAAATATACTTTTTGACTTAAAAATAGTCCCAAATAGATGTTTCCACCTCAATGATTATAGATCTAATAAAAATATGCTTTTTGCTCTAAAAATAGTCCATTTTGCACCACATTTTTTGGATTGTTTAATTCAGGTCCTAAAATCTATGTTATTTTTAGAACTTCAAATTCCATTGGGGCAAAATTAGATTCTATGCCATCGTATGTTTCTCTAATTTTGAATCTTCTTTCCAATGTCGATCCAATTTTTTTAGCAATGTTTTAGGGTGCGGCTTTACGAAAACCTCGTTATATTTTGAAGGGAAATTTGTCAAAATTCACTTTACAAGTATTTAATATTATAATATTCCAACTCAAATTCATGTATATTTTGATGGGTATTTAAATTGAAATTAAAAAAAAACAGGCTAAAGTGTTAAACAATTAATACCTTGGGTATCATCATTATTATAGCTTTTTTTTAATTAATTAGGATCGATTACACAAATCTTGGTTTGTATGTTTTAGCAAAATTTTACATTAGCAACCTACCTAACATAACCTAACCCCTTTATCTGGATATGAGACGGGTTAAGGGAAAGTTTGAGGTCATCACCCTTCTTAGACCATTAATACATTAGGTATACTTCACAAATTTCCCTATTTCTAAGAATAGAGAAATGATTTTATAGGACCTTTTCCTACCCATGTGTGTAGGATTTTAAAGGATCACCATTAAATCTGATACAGATCTATAGAAAAGTCAAGTCTCACGCCCATATAATAACTTTTTTAAAGATCCGTACCAACTTTAATGGTGATTTTTTGGGGTCCTACATACATAAATGAGGAAAGGTCCTATAGGATCATTACTTTTTCTAATATGGGTTATGGGTATTTTAGGTTTTTAAACCATTTAGGCTTTTGCAAATGTTTGGGCACATTCGTAATATGGCGTGAGAATAGGGTCGCTTTGGGACCTGTGGCTTTTGGGTGCCCGCCTTTCACTGTAATTTTAAAATTGCATGCAAGTTGCACACATGGAGACAGCACGTTCAGAAAGAGATTATTACGGGCGATTTATTTGTAAGTTTATATATCGTGGTCCCCGCTGGAGCAACTGTATAGTTACTCCATCGAGCAAAAGACGAGGCCCGATTTTTTTGATATGAAATTTTGGGATCCACTTAAATTATTGAAATGAGAAATTTCAAAGGATGAACAAATTGGGTTTTATGTAAGGGTGGGGTTTCTATAAGGTCGCAACCTTAAACAATCCAATTAAGGCGTACTTCTAAATTCTATCATAACATGTAATTTTGATGAAAAAAATTCTTAGGATTATCTTAACATTTATTTTCATATCTAATTATAAAATTTTAAACTCCAAAAAGGTTAAAATCAAGTAGATCCATAAACATATGAAAATCTTGACAATGGACGGTCTAGATAAGTCATTGCAAGATGCGCTATGTTTTAGACTTAAAATGTAAGATAATTAATTAGAGGCTTTTTCAACATTAAAACAACATTTTTTTGATGAATTTTTAAGGTGCATATGTAATTCTATATTTTAAGATTGCAACTTTATATAAACTTTTTCCTTTATGTAATTAAACTCTAATCCAATCACCCAAAAACTTAGAAACTGTGTGTTCAATTTTGTTTTTTCAGGTATGTCCCAAGTACAACAAAAATCCTAAATATGGTGTTTGTAGATATGGCCGGCAATATGCTAATTGGTCTAGCTCAGCACGGTCGGCCTCACCCTAAAAAACTAGGACCTGGCCAAATACGGCTCGAGGACCGGGCTAGGATAGGGCCGTCACTGCCTGAGCTAACCCTTATTTTCCTTGTGTGTTTTTTGTTTTTTTCTTTTATTTACTTTTGTTGTATTTGCCCGGACACACTCTGACATCATCGGGCTTGGGCTTGGGCTTGGTAGCAACCCATAGTTATAGTTGAGGGTACAAACGTATAATATATACTCGAGGGAACATTAATATTTCAGTTACACTTAAAAAAGTATCATGGCCTTATTTATTCGTTTTAAAGTCTTGGATGTTCTAACTCAACGTGGATGCCACTTTTTGGAAGTCTTAACTATGATTTTTATGGTTTTTGTGAATGGTAAGTCTCAACTACTGTGACTTTGGAAAGCAATGTTGATTTTGCTTGAATGTCGGGGGTGCCAATAATATTTCTTTTGGTGTTTATTCTAAGAGGGTAATCTTGTTTTTCATATAATCCATTTCTCCCTCTAAGTGGAACAAGGCCGTTGGATCTCAACCTAACCAATGGCCTTCAAGTCTTTCCTTGGATAAGAGTACTATTATTTATCCTAATAATTTAAAAACTAGCTCGCCACGGCGTCGTCATGTGTGTTGTGGGATTTCCTCACTCTACTCCGATTCCGCATGTACGTAGGAAAATAGCTTGATCTGGAAGGAAATCGACGATTTTTCATAGTAAAATGGTGATTCTCTATAGTAAAATAGTGATCCCAACTATCGATTCATCAATCCAAACCACTGATTAATCGATCCAGACCAGTTTTGGTTGATTCACTATTTGTTTTTACATGTTTTTTTGCCGTTTTACCATTTTTTCACATGTTTTTTTGCCTGTTAACTGTTTTTTCTGCACAATAAAACAAAAATTCAGACAACCAATTCACTCATTCGAACCAATTTTTGGGGTCCTGAGTGGTCCATTTTTTAAATTCCTGAATTCTCCTCTGTAACTGTTGAGGGCTTACGTCTTCCTCACCCTCTATGAACCATCTCTCGTCAACCCCTGCGTGGCACACAGTCATGGAATTCCCCTGTCTCCCTCCTTCGACAAGTCTCTAGGTCCTTACATCTCTCTCTCTCTCTCTCATTCATTTGATGCATACTAACATTTAATCTTCGGTTTAATGTAGGGGTTCCCTTGGTTTCAAATCACACTCTTTCACTTTCTGGGTGGTACGAAGCTATGGGAACCCATCTCTCCCTGGATATTGTTCTGTCGCTTTTTATACTTATCTCAAAGTAGGAAAAAGTTCATATAAGGATGCTACATTATAATGTAGAATGTAGAACTACGGATGCATTTAAAAAATTCATCGAAAAAGGTAGTTTTAATGGTGAAAAACCCTTTGTTTGATCGTCTCGACATCGAGATGTATGACTATAAAAAATAAAAAGACTTTAAGTCTCAAAAATAGTGCATTTTACAACATATTATCTACACTGTCCATTTTCAAGATTTTCATATGTTTATAGATCTACTTGATTTTAACCATTTTTGAAATTTTAAATTTTATAATTAGATGTAAAAATAGATTTTGAGATAATCTTAAAAACATCTTACATCAAAATTACATACCATGATAAAATTTGAAGGTGCGCCTTATTTTTACACCTACAAATGCTCACAACCATCCGATGTCAAATTTGATAGCTTGGATGTGTCATAAAGTTCGATAAAATTCTTTTGAAATTTGAGCTTGGTCAATGTAATAATTACAACCACCCAATTTCACATCTAATTTTCAAGATTATTGTGACCATCTTGTACCAAAAATAAATGGACTCATTCTATGCTTTTTCTTTTTTTGAAATGAAGGCTTTTAAAGCTATTTTTCTGTTTTTTTTTTTTAAACTAATTTATGTAGCTTTTTAGCTCCCTCATTTTAGTGTTTGAATATGAGAGCATTTCTAACCTAATTTTCTATTTTGCCTGGGCAATCCACTTGCTACACACTAGTAAGTACATCTAAGTCTTGTTTTATAAACAATCAAAGATGCATTTGAAAACTTAACATACTGATAGCATCTAACACGTTTTTTGAGGTAGGATAGTTTAAATATTTTTTCTTGTTTGACCAAGTAAATGTAATTGTTTATTCTAAAGCAAGCTAGGCAAAGTACACATGTATTATCTTTAGGGATAGCGCTTAAAAAACTGAGGCCCAAGACCCAGGGTAGAGCAAGTGCAGACCCGATTGGGCCAACCCAATAGGGCCAGGGCTGGACTTGAGCCAGTCTTATGGGGACAAGGGTCTTGCCAGTGCTAGCGCTGACCCGGCACATGCCTGTCCTATTGTCATCCTTGATTATCTTGCTTCCAAGGAGAAGTGTAGCATACTACATGTAGTACACTACATGTATACTATTTATTCATCTCCACTATTCGTGCCCGTGCTAAGATGAACCCACTAGCCCACACGAGTAGAAATGATTTGTCATTTACAGAGACCAAGAGATATTATACTCCCTCAAGAGTATATTATCTATTTGGTCCCTCGATAATACCCTGCCTATGATCAATTCTAGG